CTTGCCAGAAGCGGCCGACGGAGGCCCCCTCCCCCGCCTTCTGTCCTCCCAAATATCGCCTCGGATTCACTTCTCCGCACGTCCTACCTTCCAGGAAGTGGTCGCTTCTCTGTTCAGAGAGTTGTTCCTATTCTTCTCTTCGATCTCCTGTTGAGTTCGTAGGTGTTCAGAATGGTTTGATCCCTATCCAGCTGAATTCCTGAGACCACAGGAAATCCAGGTCTCCTACTCCTCCGCCATCTTGCTCCACCTTGCAGTAGTGATATCTTAATAGATCCTCTAATATTTGTACCGTTTGACAAGAACAAAGGCATTCCTTGACAACCATGGTAACCTCTTCCAACCTTCAGGAGCTCCCTATAACAGAGTGGGCAGGAGTTTCTCATTTTCATTAGAAGAGTGAAGAATTAAATACATCTTATGTTCTTAGTCAATGCCAATCACCTCTCTAGATCATATAGTGGCTCCAACTCAAGACTATTGCCTCAATGACAGAATTATAGGATTCTGTTTTCCTTAAATATTTTTTATTCTTGACTCTTATTTGGAAAATATGGCTGTGTGAAGCAGCGTGAGGAGTCTTTTGTCATTGCCATCTTTTTTGAGCTCCATTTTTCTATTGGATGGCCTTCAGGCATTCTCCTCATAGTGATGGGGCAGACATTTATGTGGGCCAATACCTCATCTATCTCAAAGCACAAAGGTATGCTTGATTCAAGTACATCCACATGGGAAAGTGCTAGGATTGGGCATTTTGCTCCAGATGGAGAAGGGGCTGTCATACTAACTCGGTCTGCTGAAACTCTTTGAATCAATCAAGAAATAACAACATTATCATGATAATCCATTCTTTGGAAAAAGCTTGTAGGTGTTAGAAAATAAAATGAGCAATCAGCCAAGGGAAAGAATGAACCTCTGATGTTTTGGGGGCTCCGATTTTAAACTTCTGTCTCTAAATTTGTTTCTTCCAGATGATGCATCTATCCCTGTTATCCTTTTTCTGCAATACCAATGTGCATTTAGTAAATGCTCTTTAAGCATTGGGTTAATTAACTAAATATTACAGATTTTAACCATAAAAAGCTTCTTTTTTTAAAGATTTTATTTATTTATTTGACAGAGAGGGACACAGCGAGAGAGGGAACACAAGCAGGGGGAATGGGAGAGGGAGAAGCAGGCTCCCCGTGGAGCAGGGAGCCCGATGTGGGGCTCGATCCCAGGATCCTGGGACCATGACCTGAGCCAAAGGCAGACGCTTAACGACTGAGCCACCCAGCCGCCCCAACCATAAAGAGCTTCTTAACCATTTTTTTTTTACATCTCTAAGTTGACTGTTGCTCAGCATAAAGTGATTTGAAAACATTAGGGATCTTGTTTCAAGCTTTCAAATTCAAATTTAGCAGTGGATCTTCGAAACATATACTTTCCTTTACAAAACCCCCTTTTTCATTTCTATAGGATGACTGTTATTACCAAGGACACATCATTAATGAAAAAGTTTCAGATGCTAGCATCAGCACATGTAGGGGTCTAAGGTAAGGCTTCATGAATGGTTTGTGTGTATATACCTGTGGTATTGGCATGAGTGTGTGTGTTTTAAAAAACCTGATGAATCTCAAATAGAATGAAGTATACTGTAGTTAAATATGAATCCTAAGGGTTCAAGGATTTTGAGATTTGAAGGAAACAGGGCTTCTCTTAATGGTGGTTTGTAAATTTACACATTTGAATTGCTTGCAGAGGTGTGTTTGTTTGTTTGTTTTCAAAATATAGGTTTTATGAGTCTGACTCTTTAGGGAATGGGAGCTCTTCACCTTTCCTCTTTATTCTAAACTCTCTCTTCAGTTTGTCCCCATATCAATGCGCATGACATTCTTTTCTTCTGTATATTAATGACTCCCGAGGCATCTCTCTACAATGAGATATTTCTTCTGATGCCCAGACCTGATTATCTAATTTTGTCTTCCATATATCCATATCTGGATAGATTAATGAAATCTCAATCGCAATAAACCCCTAATCAAACTAATGTTTTTCTCCCAAATCTGTTATTTTTCCAGTGTTCTTTATCTCAGTGAATGATATAATCAACCAACCACTTGCCCAATCCAGAAACCTAGGTTCCTTGATGATTTCTTGCTTCTCAGCTGCCCATTTTCAACATATTATCAAGCCCTATTGATTAGATATGCTAAATATTCACTGAGATTATTCACTACATTCTTTCTCTACTGCCACATCCTAGTCCAAACTACCATGATCCTTTATGCAGACCATTGCAACAAACTACCTACTTATCTCCTCCCATCCACTCTTTTAAGATTTTGCAGCAGGGGGGAGGAGCTGCAGGCAGAGGGAGAAGCAAGCTCTCTGCTGAGCAAGGAGCCTGATGTGGGACTCGTTCCCGGGACCCCGGGACCACGGGACCACGACCTGAGCCGAAGGCAGTTACCCAACCGAGCCACCCAGGCACCCTCCTCCCATCCACTCTTGTCTTCTAGTTCTGTGTACACTTAATCCAGTCTCCTATTACATATCTTTATACTTTTTTGTCCTACCAGTTATCTGTAATTTTGAGTATCTCATATGTCATGTAATTATGTTATTTGTGGGTCAAATGTGACTATTTTATCCACGTCTGTCTTCCTCACTTGACTATAAACTCCATGAAAGGAGAAACCATGACTCTTTTTTCTTATTGTCTGCCTTTAATCCAAGGACTAATGAATAATGGGTGCTCCCTAAATAGTGGTTAAATGAATCTTAGCTTGGGGCTTCAGCAGAGATAACTGAGAAGAAATTGGTAATATTTGTTTATCATGTGCTTTATATATTATGTCCTTCAACCTTTATAATCATTCTATTAGGTAGGTACTATTCTCATGTTATGGATGGAGAAACTGAGGCTGTGTGAGTTTAGGTAATTTTCCCATGGTATCACATCCAAAAAGTTATAGACTGAGAATCTTAACTCTTTTTTTTTTTTTAAGATTTTATTTATTTATTTGCTAGAGAGAGAGAGCGCGTGCGCCAGGGAGTGAGCAAAAGTACTAGCAGGGGGAGCTGCAGGCAGAGGGAGAAGCAGGCTCGCTGCTGAGCGAAGAGCCCGATGTGGGACTCAATCCCAGGGCCCTGGGATCATGACCTGAGCTGATTAACCACCCAGGTGTATCTAGAATCTTAACTCTTATTTATAAGCCTTCAAAGTCTTTATTTTCAGTGCACCTTTTGAGCAGACAAGGTATTAGATTGGAAGAACACTGAGTGAGAATCAGGAAATTTCCATTCTAATGTCAGCACTGACGTAAGTTAGCTATGTGACATTACAGCAGTCACTTCATCCCAACAGGTCCCATTTCCTTATAGAAAAAATAGGTTTAGGTCATCTCTAAGTGTATCTAGCTACAGTGTTGCACTATAGTCTACTGCCATGAGCTTGAAATTATGTGGAATTGGCAACGTTTTGGAGTCTATAAGTCTATATAGCACCCAAAAGCAGGAATATTTTTTAAGGAGCCCGGATTTTCATGTTTTTCAGGGGCTACTTCAGTCAGGGAGATCAAAAGTACTTCATTGAACCTTTAAGCCCCACAAATCAGGATGGACAGGAACATGCACTCTTCAGGTATGATCCTGATGAAAAGACTAACAGCACCTGTGGGATGGATGACATATTATGGGCACATGGATCTCGGCAGAGTGTGGCTCTACCTGCCACCGGTCTGGTGGTATGCATACTTTCCCTTTTATTTGCAGTGCTTTCATGTATTCTGTCCTGGCTCTGCTGCGCTCCAGTCTTAGTAGTTGCAATTAAAGGAAATTTTATAGTCTTTGTTGAAGTACTAGTACTATCGTAAGCTATAGAGACACTAGAACCTTGTTGTACATTGATGATTTATTTAATAAGTGTTTGTGGATTAACTATTATTAACAACAATGTGCCAGAGTTAAAAAAAGTATAAATATAATAATGCTTGCCCTCTAGGAACAGGCAACGTTAACAATACTTCAACAAACAACAAAGGTGTAAAGTATTATTACTTTGACATAAAATATCCTGCTGTCTTTATGAATGAATTCATTCAACAGTTTTCTTCCACTCACGGAAGAAAAATGAATATGGTTTGTTGAAACCATAGGAGGTATCTAAAAAGTCATTGCCATAATCACGTTCATTTCCTTCAGGGGACACTATATCCAATCATCTCTTCAAATGTTCTCAGAATCCAAAGCACTGGACAGAATTGGTTTAAGCAAAAGAAAATCTCTTTTGGGTTCACTTTGCTGTGTGTTTAAATTCTACCTGGGATATGATACCGGGAACCCAGAAGAACCACTCTTAGGGATGAAGGATAAAAGAATCAAGGATAATTTCTAGATTTGGGCTGGAGCAAATGATGGATGGTAGTACTGTTACCTGAGCTGGGGAGAATGAGGGAGAAGCAGGTTTTGTTTGAAGTTTGGGAATCAGTAGTTTTATTTTGACCATGTTAAATTTGTGGTATTAGACATTTGAATGGATGCATGGAATAGGTAGTTAATTATAGCAGTCTGGCCTTTAGAGGAGAGGCCAAGGCTGGAGATACACATTTGAAAGTAATTAGTGCAGAGTTCCTATTCAAACAAGGCATAACACGGGATGGGATTACCTAGGAAGAATGTGTAGATAAAGAATGGGACGTGGGGTTGAGCTTTTATGAGGGCCTTAATATAGAGAGGTCAAAAAGAGGAGGATGACAGTGAGTTACAAATCCTTATATGCTTAGGGCCCCACTTCTATCTGTAATCTACCTCCTTCTACTCCCTGCCTACGAAAAACCTCCCCCAATATATTCTGACAAACACAGATATCTTTTCTGTGCTTTAAACATGCCAATATCAATTCACTTCAGTCTTTTTGTTCATTTTTTTTTTCTCTGCTGGAATTATCTTCCAATTTATCTTCCCTCGCCTGCTTTCTCAATGAGGAGGCTGGGAGGGAAGTGTGTAGCTTATTGGACTACACCTAAAAGTCTACTTTCAGTAATGTGTTCTTTTAATGGAAGCTCATTTGCCTGTTTAAAAGACAACCACCTCGGGGGGAGGAGCAAAGTGGCAGAGGAGGAAGAGACCTAAATTTCGTCTGGTCCCAGAAATTCAGCTAGATAGGGATCAAACCATTCTGAACACCTATGAACTCAACAGGAGATGGAAGAAAAGAATAGCAACAACTCTCTGAACAGGAAACCGACCACTTTCTGGAAGGTAGGACGTGTGGAGAAGCGAATCCGACGTGATATTCGGGAGGATAGATGGCAGGGGAGGGGGCCTCCATCAGCTGCTACCAGCAAGTGATGGAGCAGCGGAACACAAAATCGGAACTTTTAAAAGTCTTCTTCTCTGAGGGACGTTGTTCCAGTGGCTAAGTGGGGGGTGGAATCCTCGCTGGGACAGTGTGGTCTCAGGACCCTCGGAGTCACAGAAAGACCGGGGATGCCTGAGTGCGGCAGAGCTCCCAGCTATCGGAGCGGGAAAGCTGGCTGCAGAGACAGAGCCGAGGAGTGGGCTCTCAGCTCGGGGTTGCCATAAACCATGATCCACGGCACAGTTGGGCCACTGCTACTCCAGCAGGGACTCAACAAGCGGCAGATCCAGGGAGATTCCCCTTCCTCCCCTGGGTGGAGCAACTTGATAGTGCACTGCAGGAACCTGCTGGGTTTGGAGACTCCAAACTTGGTTGTGTGCCAGAGATAGAAATGCTCAGTCACAGGCCAGGTGAGCAGGAGTGCGGACAGAGACCAGGGAGATGGGAGTGATTGACTGCTATTCTCTGGGGCTCACTGAGGAGTGGGGCCCTGAGTTCTTGGCTCTTCTGGGGCAAAGATTGGGAGGCTGCCATTTTTGCTCTCATCCCCCAAAGCTGTGCGGAAAGCTTGCAGGCAACAAAAGCTCCCGAGAGCAAACCCAAGCATATTACTTAGCCCAGCCCCTGGCAAGGGCAGGGCAATTCTGCCCCTTGCAAAGATATTTGTGAGCTGCTGCGACAGGCCCCTCCCCCAGATCAGCAAGAACAGGCAGCCAAGACCAAGTTTACCCATCAATGAGAACGGCAGAACTCCAGTGCTAGGGGAATACTGCACATAGAATTCATGGCTTTTTCCCCATGATTCTTTAGTCTTTCAAAGTTAACTATTTTTTTAACTTTCTTTTTCTTTCTTTTTTTATTTGAATTTTTCTTTTTCCCTTTTTCAACCAACATCTTATTAATCCCTTTATTAAAAATGTTTTTTATTTTTCATTTTTAAAGTCATATTCTATCCCTTCATAGTAGTTAAACATATCTTTGATATATATATATATATATATGTTGTTCTCTCTTTAAAATTTTGGGATACAGTTTCTTCTAACACAACTAAATATACCCTCAATCTCTAGTCTCCTGCCTTATCACATTCTCTCCCCCTTTTTTTTTAAATCTGCTTCTTTCTGTTTTCAACAAAATTCTTATATTATCAATTCCTATTATAAAATCTTTTATAATTTTCATCTTTACAGTCATATTCTATCCCTTCATCATATTTACCCTTATTTTTCTACATGTATAAGTTTTTCTTTCTTTAAAATTTTGGGAGGCACTTTCTTCGAACAGACCAATATACGCCCAAAATCCAGTGTGTGGCACTGATCGATTCACCAGCCTAATCATGTTTGATCATATTCTTTTTTTTATCTTTTCTTTTTCTTTTTCTTTTTTCTTTTTTCTTTCTTCTTTCTTTCCCTTTCTTTTCCCCCGGTTTCAGGTCTCTTCTGATTTGTTTAGTGTACATTTTTCTGGGGTCATTGTTAAACTGTTAGCATTTTGTTCTCTCATTGATCTATTCTCCTCTGGAAAAAAGGACAGAAAAAATCACGTCAGAAAAAGAACAAGAGGCAGTACCGACTACTAGGGACCTAATCAATAGAGACATTAGTAAGATGTTGGAACTAGAGTTCAGAATGACGACTTAAAGATACTAGCTGGGCTTGAAGAAACCATGGAAGATATTAGAGATACCCTTTCTGGGGAAATAAAATAACTAAAATCTAACCAAGTGGAAATCAAAAAGGCTATTAATGAGGTGTAATCAAAAATTGAGGCTCTAACTGCTAGGATAAATGAGGCAGAAGAGAGAATCAGTGGTATAGAAGACCAAATGATGGAAAATAAAGAAGCTGAGAAAAAGAGCTCAGATAAACTGAGATAAAGATCCAGAGATAAACAACTACTGGATCATGAAGGCAGAATTTGAAGATAAGTGATACCATAAGACAAAAAAATATTAAAATAATTGGGATCCCAGAAGAAGAAGAAAGAGAGAGAGGGGCAGAAGGTATACTGGAGCAAATTATAGCAGAGAACTTCCCTAATTTGGGGGAGGAAACAGGCATCAAAATCCACGAGGCACAGAGAAACCCCTCAAAATCAATAAAAATATGTGAACACCTTGACATCTAATAGTAAAACTCAAGAGTCTCAGAGACAAAGAGAAAATCCTGAAAGCAGTTCGAGACAAGAGATCTGTAACCTACAATGGTAGAAAGATTACATTGGCAGCAGACCTATCCACAGAGACGTGGCAGGCCAAAAGGACTGGCATGATATATTCAGAGCACTAAATGGGAAAAATATGCAGCCAAGAATACTATATCCAGCTAGGCTGTCATTGAAAATAGAAGGAGAGATAAAAACTTCCGGGACAAACAAAAACTAAAGGAATTTGCAAACACGAAACCGGCCCTACAAGAAAATTTGAAAGGGGTCCTCTAAGCAAAGAGAGAGCCTAAAGGTAACATAGACCAGAAAGGAACACAGACAATAGACAGTAACAGTCACCTTACAAGCAAAACAGTGGCACTAAATTCATATCTTTCAATAGTTACCCTGAATGTAAATGGGCTCAATGCCCCAATCAAAAGACACAGGCTATCAGATTGGATTAAAAAACAAGACCCAGCGATATGCTGTCTGCAAGAGTCTCAATTTAGACCCAAAGACACCCCAGATTGAAAGTGAGGAGGTGGAAAACCATTTTCCATGCTAATGGAAACCAAAAGAAAGCTGGAGTGGCAATCCTTATATCAGACAACTTAGATTTTAAACCAAAGACTATAATAAGAGATGAGGAAGGACACTATATCCTACTTAAAGGGTCTATCCAACAAGAAGATCTAACAACTGTAAATATCTATGCCCCTAACATGGGAGCAGCCAATTATATAAGCCAATTAATAACAAAAGCAAAGAAACACATTGACAACAATACAATAATAGGAGGGGACTTTAACACCCCCCTGACTGAAATGGACAGATCATCTAAGCAAAAGATGAACAAGGAAATAAAGACTTTAAATGACACACTGGACCAAATGGACTTCACAGATCTATTCAGAACATTCCATCCCAAAGTAACAGGATACACATTCTTCTTGAGTGTCCATGGAACATTCTCCTGAATAGATCACATCCTAGGTCACAAATCAGGTCTCAACTGGTACCAAAAGACTGGGATTATTCCCTGCATATTTTCAGATGACAATGCTTTGAAACTAGAACTCAATCACAAGAGGAAAGTCAGAAAGAACTCAAATACATGGAGGCTAAAGAGCATCTTACTAAAGAATGAATGGGTCAACCAGGAAATTAAAGAAGAATTTAAAAAATTCATGGAAACAAATGAAAATGAATACACAACTGTTCAAAATCTTTGGGACAGCAAAGGCAGTCCCTAAGACGAAAGTGTATAGCAATACAAGCCTTTCTCAAGAAACAAGAAAGGTCTCAAATACACAACCTAACCCTACACCTAAAGGAGCTGGAGAAAGAACAGCAAATAAAGCCTAAAACCAGCAGGAGAAGAGAAATAATAAAGACCAGAGCAGAAATCAATGAAATAGAAACCCAAAGAACAGAGGAACAGATCAATAAAACTAGGAGCTTGTTCTTTGAAAGAATTAGTAAGATTGATAAACCCCTGGCCAGACATATCAAAAAGAAAAGAGAAAGGACCCGAATAAATAAAATCATGAATGAAAGAGGAGAGATCACAACCAACACCAAAGAAACACAAACAATTATAAGAACATATTATGAGCAACTATATGCCAGCAAATTAGATAATCTGGAAGAAATGGATGCATTACTTGAGATGTATAAACTACCAAAACTGGACCAGGACGAAATAGAAAACCTGAACAGACTTAGAACCACTAAGGAAATTGAAGCAGTAATCAAAATCTCCCAACTAACAAAAGCCCAGGGACCAATGCCTTCCCAGGGGAATTCTACCAAACATTTAAAGAAGAATTAATACCTATTCTTCTGAAACTCTTCTAAAAAATAGAAATGGAAGGAAAACTTCCAAACTCGTTTTATGAGGCCACTATTACTTTGATCCCAAAACCAGACAAAGACCCCATTCAAAAGGAAAATTGCTGACCAATATCCTTGATGAACATGGATGCACATATTCTCACCAAAATACTAGCCAGTAGGATCCAACAGTACATTAAAAGGATTCTTCACCATGACCAAGTGGGAGTTATCCCTGGGTTGCAAGTTTGGTTCAACATCTGCAAATCAATCAGTGTGATGCAATACATTAATAAAAGAAAGAACAAGAAACATATGATCCTCTCCATAGATGCAGAAAAAGCATTTGACCCAGTACAGCATCCTTTCTTGATCAAAACTCTTCAGAGTATAGGCATAGAGGGTACATACCTCAATATCATAAAAGCCATCTATGAAAAGCCCACAGCGAATATCATTCTCAAAGGGGAAAAACTGAGAGCTTTCCCCTTAAGGTCAGGAACACATAAAGGATGTCCACTATCACCACTGCTATTAAACATAGTATTAGAAATCCTAGCCACAGCAATCAGACAACAAAAAGAAATCAAAGGCATCCGAATCAGCAAAGAAGAAGTCAAACTCTCCTCTTTGCAGATGATATGATACTTTATGTGGAAAACCCAAAAGGCTCCAGTCCAAAACTGCTAGAACTCATAGACGAATTCAGTCAAGAGGCAAGATATAAAATCAATGCACAGAAATCAATGGCATTCCTATACACCAACAACAAGACAGAAGAAAGAGAAATGAAGGAGTCGATCCCATTTACAATTGCACCCAAAACCATAAGATACCTAGGAATAAATCTAACCAAAGAGGCAAAAGATCTGTACTCAGAAAACTATAAAATACTCATGAAAGAAATGGAGGGAGACACAAAGAAATGGAAAAGCATTCCATGCTCATGGATTGGAAGAAGAAATATTGTGAAGATGTCAATGCTACCTAGAGCAATCTACACATTCAAAGCAATCCTTAACAAAATACCATCCACCTTTTTCAAAGAAATGGAACAAATAATCCTAAAATTTGTATGGAACCAGAAAAGACCCCGAATAGCCAGAGGAATGTTGAAAAAGAAAAGTAAACCTGGTGACATCACAATTCCAGACTTCCAGCTCTATTATAAAGCTGTCATCATCAAGACAGTATGGTACTGGCACAAAAACAGACACATAGATCAATGGAACAGAATGGGGAGCCCAGAAATGGACCCTCAACTCTATGGTCAACTCATTTTGAAAAAGTAGGGAAGAATGTCCAATGGCAAAAAGACAGTCTCTTCAACAAATGGTGTTGGGAAAATTGGACAGCCACATGCAGAAGAATGAAACTGGACCATTTCCTTACACCACACATAAAAATAGACTCCAAATGGTTGAAAGACCTAAGTGTGAGACAGGACTCCATCAAAATCCTAGAGGAGAACACAGGCAGCAACTTCTTCGACCTCAGCCGCAGCAACTTCTTCCTAGAAACATCACCAAAGGCAAGGGAAGCAAGGGCAAAAATGAACTATTGGGACTTCATCAAGATAAGAAGCTTTTGCACAGCAAAAGAAACAGTCAATAAAACCAAAAGACAACCGACAGAATGGGAGAAGATATTTGCAAATGACATATCAGATAAAGGGCTAGTATCCAAAATCTATAAAGAATTTATCAAACTCAACACCCAAGGAGCAAATGATCCAATCAAGAAATGGGCAGAAGACATGAACAGACATTTTTCCAAAAAAGACATCCCTATGGTCAACAGACTCATGAAAAAGTGCTCAACATTGCTTGGCATCAGGGAAATCCAAATCAAAACCTCAATGTGATGCCACCTCACGTCAGTCAGAATGGCTAAAATTAACAAGTCAGGAAATGACAGATGTTGGCTGAGATGTGGAGAAAGGGAACCCTCCTACACTGTTGGTGGGAATGGAAGCTGGTGCAGCCACTCTGTAAAACAGTATGGAAGTTCCTCAAAAATTTGAAAATAGGGCTACCATACGACCTAGCCTTTGCACTACTGGGTATTTACCCCAAAGATACAAATGTAGGGATCCGAAGGGGTACGTGCACCCCAATGTTTATATCAGCAATGTCCACAATAGCCAAACTGTGGAAAGAGCCAAGATGTCCATGGACAGATGAATGGATAAAGAAGAAGTGGTATTTATATACAATGGAATATTATGCAGCCATCAAAAGGAATGAAATCTTGCCATTTGCAACGACTTGGATGGAACTGAAGGGTATTATGCTGAGCAAAATTAGTCAATCAGAGAAAGACATGTGTCATATGACCTCACTGATATGAGGAATTCTTAATCTCAGGACACAAAGTGAGTGTTTCTGGAGTGGTGGGGGGTGGGAGGGATGGGGCACCTGGGTGATAGACACTGGGGAGGGTATGTGCTATGGTGAGCGCTGTGAATTGTGTAAGACTGATGAATCACAGACCTGTACCTCTGAAACAAATAATACATTATGTGCTAAAAAAAAAAAAAGAAGAAGAAGAAAATAGCAGGAAGGGAAAAATGAAGCGGGGGAAATCAGAGGGGTAGACGAACCATGAGATACTAGGGACCTTGAGAAATAAACTGAGGGTTCTAGAGGGGAGGGGTTTGGGTGAATGGGTTAGCCTGGTGATGTGTATTAAAGAGGGCATGTACTGAATGGAGCACTGGGTGTTATACACAAACAATGAATCATGGAACACTACATCAAAAACTAATGATGTAATGTATAGTGACTAATCATACATTACATAATAAGAAAAAAAAAAAAAGACAACCACCTCTGGGGCCCCTGGGTGGCTCACTCTGTTAAGCATTGGACTCTTAGTTTTGGCTGAGGTTATGATCTCAGGTTCATGTGATCACGCCCTGAGTCGGGCTCCATGCTCAGCATGGAGTCTGCTTGAAATTCTCTCTCTCCCTCTCTTTCTGACTGCCCCACCACCACTCGTGCTCCCTTTCTCTTTCTCTCAAATAAATAAATAAAATGTTAAAAAAATACAAGTACTTCCAAAAATATAATAAACTTTGATAGTTTATTATTTAGTATGAATAATGTATCTGCTACTTTTCAGTGGAACAATGCACTATGAAATGTGTCTTTTGTTGTTGTTTGGTTTGGTTTGGTGGAATAAAAGGAAGCTTGGAATGTGGGAAAGAGATCCACCTCTGCCTGAGGAAAAGAGAGCCATGGTGAAGAGAGATAGGTGCCATGGGGGCTCTGGGCTTTGCACTGTTGCTAAGGAAGGGGGTGCTCACTGACAGAAGGATAAAAGGCTACTTATAGCCACCACCACCACCTCCAGCAACAACAACAACAAGAAAACACTAGGAGGATGATGAAGTCAGAGTTTCTCCATTTCAGGGCAGGATAGTGGAGAAAGCCCATTGTTCAAAAAATCTGAAAACTTTGGTTTTAGTTCCAGTACATGTGCAATCATTTAAATTCTGTCAAAATGGAGTCAGACTAGAATTTCACTCATGTCCCTTCTAGCTCTGATATTCTGAACCTCATCTATAGATAATTTTGCTTGGTTAGAGTTAAAATGGTAATGTTGTTTTCCCTTATTGCCAGATATCAACCAATCTTTTCTAAAATTACACATTTCAAATAAAAGAATGACTCTTAAGGAGAATGATGTTGTTTCAGTAATTTTCTTTTTTATATTTATTACAGAAATCCAAAGACCAGAAGGGTCTGGAACATAAGAAATACATAGAATATTATTTGGTGCTGGATAATGGTGAGGTAATTATAACAGATAAATGTGTCTTTTAAAATCCCCTTCTACATGAATTTATTTTGAGAAAAATAAACATATGGATCAGTTTTGAAAAATCATGAATCTGAGCTATTCCTTTTTATGAATTGTTCTGATCCTAGGAAATTTGACATATAATTAGACTGATATGATTTTTCCTTCTCAAGAATGTGCACCTGATATGATATGCATAAAGTGAATTTTTTGCATTTTATCCTCTATTATTGTATCCAAACTTAGTTTCCAATTAAATTCCTTTGTCCTTTTTCTTTCATTAAGCAGTTAAATCACTGGTAAGTTAGAATTTATCCTCATCAGAGAGTGGTAAATGTACAAGACTGATGAATGGAATTTTCTGAAAAAAGCATTTTTTGGTAATATTCATTGTTTATATTATTTACAAGAATGCATTTTCAAATATTGGAAAACTAAGGTTCACATGTGTGATCTCAAAAGGGAAAGCTTTGCACTATGATAATATGATAAGTTAATTTCTTCATGCCCTAAAGCTTGACCTCTCATTATACTACATTCATTTATCATTTATCATTCATATATATGAATAAGCTATTCCTTGCACCAGTTCTGCACAGCTTGTGAAACCATGGCATTTAAATGAGAATATATTTGGAGTAATTCCTTAGAACTTTACACTGAGCTACTACTTTAGGGGTAAAACATCATCTTTACTCCAAAAGTACTTCAATTTAGCTAAAGAAATAAGGGAGCATTTTGCTTCTATCTTTTAACTGTTAACTTTTATAACTGATTATTAATTATAACCACTGATAAGCAAAATAAACTGAAGTTACCTTTTAATTTTTTTTACCTTCCAATTATATTCATTTCTGTCAGTACCCATATTTTGTCATGGTTGGTTTTTGTTTGTGTGTTTTGTTTTGTTTTTTTTCCAGTTTAAAAAGTACAATCAAGATCCAGAGGAAATAAGAAAGAGGGTGTTTGAAATGGCCAATTATGTCAACATGGTATGGTATACTTCAAGTGCAATTTTAACAATTTGTGAGGCAGTGTCATTGGGTGTATCTATGAATGCTCATGAAGCAAGGAAAGAGAGACAATACTCCTAAGATTAATACTGCTGACTGGTTCTTGAAATTTTGCTACTTAATTGAATATTAATATTACATGATAGAGATGTTTCTTACCTACTTGCCACACAACTCTCAGGCTGATGAAGGTATAAGAAATGGTTTTGTTTGAATTGGTTGTTTTGTTTTGTTTTTCTAAAGCCTGGGGAGACAGCACTCACCAGCAAATCCCAACAGAAAGCCCATCTATGGGAGAACATGGGAAAACAAACAAAATCAGCCAAACTCTGGCACAGTACTATCTTTCAATACATCATTTCAATGAATCTTCAAAACAGCTCTGCGATATTCCTAAACCTAATTTATAGCTAAAGAATTAAATTCTGGGAAGCAAAGTAACTTGCCTAAAATCACAAAGTTAGGAAATGGTAGAGATAAGATTTGAACTTGGATTGGTTGGATTTCAAAGTCCATTTCAATTGGAAAGATGTTGATTTCAAAATCCATTTCAATTGGAAAAATTAGATGATTTTGTCATCTAATTAACAAAATCTTTTAAAAATGATTTCTGTATCCCTTCTATTTAAATCTAATTGTTAGTGTCTTGTTAGTTGAACATACAGTTAGTCTGCCTACTTACATGAGTGAGTCACTTTGTAGTAGCCTGCAAGTCCTCTAAGGATAGAGAGAAAATGAAGGTGGATTTAATGACCAATATCATCCCTATCTCATCTTCTCACCACAAAGATCATTCTGACTCCTCTTAAAGAACCCCAAGAACTGGCCATATTTATTGAACATCTTTGTGACAGGAACTTTTCTAGGTGACAGAAATAAAGTGAGGAACAAAACTGACAAATATCCCTTCAAGGAGTTTACATTCTTGTTCAAGATGAACATAAACACACCAAATAAAGAGAATATAGGATGGTGATTATAAGTGGTCTAAAAAAATAAAGCAGCTTAAAAATAAAGAGATAGGTTCATCTTGGGTGCTGTGTTAAATAAGAAAGCTCAAGTCCAAAGTGTCCAAGGTGACATTTGAGTTAAGGAAAGGAACGGAGATAAGAGTCTGACTCTAGGGGAGGTTGTGCAAGGCAGAGTGAGGTTCTGAGGACAGAACCTAGATTGTCATATTTGAGGAACAGTGGGAAGGCCATTGTGGATGGCATGCAGTAAGCCGGGGCAAGGGTGGGAGCAAATGACATCTGACAGGTAGCAGTGGTCGGAATCTGCAGCTCCTGGTAGGCCTGTGTAAGGACTTTGTTATTCTTCACAAGCAAGGAAGACATTGGAGAGCCTGAGCTGAGGTGTAACATGTTCAGATGTGTATTCTTAAAAGGTTATCTTGGCCATTATATTGGAAATAAACTGAAGGAAAGCAATTGGCAGAAGGTAGGGGAATTATTCCCTAACTCAGGGCAAGAAATGATGGTGGCTTGAGAAAAAGCAGTGGTATTGGATCTATTGAGAATAGCTGATCTCTGGATAGAGTACACAGGGTAGATGAGGTAGATGAGAGATAAGTATAAGAAAAGGAAGAGAGTCAAGTGACATCAAGGATTTAAACCTGAGCAACTTTAAGGATGGGTAACATGGTGGGGGATAGTGACTCAGAGGAAAGATGAGGATTTCCGTTTGGAACACATTTGCTTTGAGATATCTTTTTGTATAAAGATTTCCAGGTGCACATCATTATGTTGTATACCTAAAACTAATATAATGTTATATGTCAATTATATCTCAACAAAAATATTATTGTTTCTTAGTGGGGGTGGCAATGGCAGTGGATTGCTAATTTTTATTAAAAGTGTTCTATGACTATAATTTTTTCAAATGTGTACATGTTTCATTTATACATTTATACATTTTTATATTTAAGAAATGAAAAATTAGAGACTTTACATTTCAAAAATCAGAGAAATAATACTAGGAAATTTCCCTGAGATGAGGGGTAGACATGTCCATATTGACAATGCCCTCCACATGTCCAGCACCTAGTAACATGTGTCAGATTATATCATTGTAAACTTTTGGATCATTAAAGATTAAAGAGAAGATTCATGGATGCAAAAAAAAAAAAGATTTCCAGGTGAAAATGCTAGATATACAAGATTGCTTGGAGTTCAGGGGCTAGGTCTGGGTAGAGATATAAATCCATGTCTTTAACACATACAGATGGCATATGACATGGATCAGCAAACTGTAGCTTGTGGGCCAGATTTGGCCTGCTGCCTTTTTAAAAGTAGTTTTAATGAAACATAGCTACACCCAAGAGTGCCAGTGGTGGTGAGTAGTTACCACAGAGACCACGCAGCCTCAAAGTCTGAAGCATTTTCTGTGGACCTTTACAGAATAAGCTTACCAATCCTGGTATAAGAGAACCAAAGGAGTGGGCATAGATAAGTAGAAAAAAGACTGAGAACAGGTCCTTGAAGTTCTTCTTTGAGGAGAAATCAAAGTGCAGGAGAAAATGACAGAGACCAATAAAGAGTAGACAATGAGCTTTGAGAAAAATCAGGGGATAGTGTTGTTCTGGAAGCTACTTGAAACAAAAATCTATCAAAGGAAGAAATGATCAATGATGTTAGATGCTTCTGAGGACTGAGGATTGGCCATTGGATTTAACAAAGTAGAAGTTATTAGTCACCTGGATGATGCAAGTTTCTGTAAAGTGTAAGAGTACAAGCATGATTAGAGTGAGTCCAATGAGAATAGGAAGTAGAATTAGAGACAACAGATACAGAAAATTCTCTTCAGAAGTTTTGCTATAAATGGAAGCAGAGAAATGGAAATAAGTGAAAGGGAGAGGGGTCATAAAAATTGTCCCCCAACCATGATGGGTCATCCTTTTTATGCTGATGGGAATGATTCTGTGGAAGGCTAAGCATAGAATTGCAAGGACGATGGAAGAATTGCCAGAATAATCTCCTTGACCTGGGAAGAGGTCGGAAATCTAGTGCATGAGTGGAGAAGTTGGCCTTAGGCATGCAGCATTCATTCATATAGTAAAGAAGGGGAGGTATATGTTGTTTGAAGTAAGCCAGTAGGCAGACAGTGGTGGGAGCTTGTGGATATTCTCTTCTGGTTGCTTCTATACTCTGAGTGAGTTTGGAAGCAGGGGCATCTGCTCAAAGTGAGGTTTTAATAGAAAGTGTCACAATTTCTAAAAGAGAAGAGTGAGCATGGAAAAAATGTGCAGAAGCCTCTGGGAGTAAATGGATTTTGGAAATGCAGCAGGTTTGCTGAGACTGGTAAAGACCACTTGAGGTTAGTAGTCATGGCTTCCAAGTGAAACCAGTCAGCATAGTGTGCTCTCTCCTTTGTTCTGGGGCATGGTGCAGGAGAGTCATAGGGAGGAATTGTTTTAACCAGGATTGAAGTTTAGTCAGGTGGGTCAAATAAAGAAAGAACGGAAGAGGGAAGTTGAGGGAATCATCAAGGGGAGGGTTTTAATCTAGTTAGATTCTGACTTCTTTTGATGATAATTGCATTCCTCAATGCTTTTATTGTTTTCCAAACTACTTAAACAGTTCCTTCAGGTTTCTCAGCAAGAAGTTGCCCCATGAGAAAACCTGTCACTGTGCAGGTTTTTTCCCAGCGTTATTGCGATATAATTGGCATATAACATTGTGTGAATTTAAGGGGTCCAGTGTGTTGATTTGATATACTTACTTGCAAAATGATTTCTGCCATGTTAGCTAACACCTCCATTGCATCACATAGTTGCTGTTGCTTTTTTGTGGTGAGAACATTTAAAAATTATTCTCACCAATCTTAAAGTAATTAAGACAGTATTATTACTATCACTACCAAGCTGTATATTAGATCCCCAGAACTCATTCATTTAATAACTGGAAGTTTATCTGACCAACACTGTGCAGTTTTGTGAACTATAGCAGCAATTTAAACTTTTGTTTTTAGAGTAAACATACTCTCTTCTTATAAGATTAATTCATTATTTCTAAAGATTATCCTATGTGCATTATAGATTATTTGGTTCAGTCCAGTTTTAAGAATTAGAGGACCACTTACTTTATTGTGACTCACAGATGCAGGACTTTTTCATATAGCATGTTCCTTTCCCAGTGTCCAAACCAGTACTGGATCAACATTGCTAATTCTGAAATGTTATTACTCTGAGAACATTGCAAAGCATTTGAATAAATACACTTAAGTTGAAGTCATAGTAATGAACTACTAACAGAAAATTATAATGTTTCTTGAGGTTGCAAGCAAGAGAAGGTTGTTTCAATAGGAACTTTTCTCCAAAAAAAAAAAAAAGGAGTTTCACAGTGAATTATCTAAGGGTGTCTGCCTTGCCTAAACAGGGATGCTAGCTAGCATCTGTGAAAAGAGGTAATAACTTCCATTTTACAAGTATGTTTGGAAAGTTTTTACAGTGCTGCTATTAATAAGTTCAAAAATCTACAGTACATTGAAAATATTGAAAGATAATATCACCATTATGTAGTTCCTTTGACATGTATTCTCTTTGGACAGCTTTACAAAAAACTCAATACTCATGTGGCCTTAGTTGGTGTGGAAATCTGGAATGATGAGGATAAAATAAAGATAACCCCAAATGCAAGCTTCACCTTGGAAAATTTTTCTAAATGGAGGGGAAGTGTCCTCCTCCGAAGAAAACATCATGATATCGCTCAGTTAATCACGTATGTATAAATTTTCCCTTTGTATGTTAAATGGTATTTAGCATAGAAACTTTCCAAAGCCTTGGCAAGGCAAGTGGTATCTCAGGGGATAGGGTAAGGGGAAGTGGCTTATGCAATGGGGTTGAAAATTTAAAAAAGTACTCATTTGAATATTATGGTGAATATGCTCTTACCTTTGTTACAAGTATTTCTTTTTCTTTCATTTTTAAAGAAAAGCTAACAGTTTAACAATGATTCATCAGAATTTTGTCTGTTTTGATTAGGTATACAGAAAAGAAAGATGGGTTTAGAAAATGGCAAGAGAAATTTCGATTCAATGTTTTAAAAGACCTGATTAGCTTTAAAGCACTAGTCAGGACAAACTTCTAGGATTGAAAGAAAATTGCATATTATATTCTAATCCCAAACCTCTACCATCCTGCTGAAATAACTAATTAAAAAAAAAACAGGAAGTAAATCTGGTGACTATAAATTAGATAAGACTGCTGAGCATATGCCTCAAAAGAAATCAAGAAAATTCTGCTGGATAGTTTGCAGCTGGAATCAGATAGAAGGAAGCAGCAAGAAGTGACTTAAAATTATTCAAGTTTTACTTCCTGAGAAAACAGGAGTTATAGGAAATAAGAATTAATTAATATTCTGTGTAGTTATCTACTACACATAACATATCAGCCCACAACTTCCTGACTTAAAGTAAATCTTCTTAAGTGTCTGGTTCCTTGCCTGGTATGGCTGGAGCATGGGTGCTGGGTTGGTCATCTCTGCATAAACAGGTTTCATGTGGCTAACTAGGACTGCCTCCAGCATGGCAGTCTCAGGGTTCTGGAAATCTTGCAAGGTGACTAGTTTTCCCCCAGAAGAAGCATTCTAAGAGGACCAAAAGAAAGCTTCAAGACTTCCATGACTGAAGCTTAGAAATTGCTCAGTGTCTACTAGGTATTTATCCAAAGGATACAAAAATAATGATTCAGTGGGGCACCTGTACCCCAGTGTTTATAGCAGCAGTGTCCACAATAGCCAAAATATGGAAAGAGCCCAGATGTCCATTGACAGATGAATAGATAAAGAAGATGTGATA